AACCACAAGACCTCAACGCTGCAGGGGGAGGACCCGCAACTTCCTCAGAGTGCAGACACGGTCTTTCTTCCCCAGGGAAGAGCCCACCAACTGGTTATCTCATACCAATGGTCAGCCCTGAGATATGCATCCTAGTATCGTACAGATTCAGCAAGTTATACTTATGCACATATATATGTGCATACATGTAGAAACAATTCATAAAAAACCTGGCTGATCCCAGCACTCGGGAGGCAGAGGCAGGCGGAGAGAAACCCTGTCTCAAAAAACAAAACAAAACAAACAAAAAAACCTGGCTGAGAATTTGAAGATCAAGGTGGGAGTACATGGGCTAGTTTGGCAGGAGGAAAGGGAAGGGGCAATGATGTAATTATATGATAGTCTTAAAAAGAAAAAGTAATAATTAAAAACTACCCAATAAGTGACAAGGCATAGTCAATTTTAGAGAGAACATGAAGGGGTTAACAAATTCCACAGAGGTCTGATAAAAGCCTCAAGTAATCTGTGCCTTAAGTCTTAACTGAAAAAAGACCAAATACAGTCATTGGTGCAACACAGTAGCCAACGCCTGTAACTCCGCCCCTAGGGAGGCAGAGGCCAGAGAATACTGCAAATGTGAGGACACTCTGGTCTATGTAGTGAGTTCCAGGCCAGCCAGAGCTGCACAGACAGGGACAGTTATTAAACAGCCTTATCTGGAGAGTCAGCTCAGCGGCCCTGTCTTTCCAGTGCACATGAGACCCTAGGCTCCCACCCCAACATCACCACAAACAACGACTTATTCAGACAGCTACAATCTAGAAAAACAAACGCAGCACCATATCCCGATGACATAAAGAAAACAGTTTGTTCACTGGGTGATAACATCTGCGATCATAAAGAGTGTTAGCACACACCTGTAATCCCTGCCCTGGAACTGGAAGCTCAAAGATTGCTAGTTCAAGGCCTCTCTGAAAGAGCAGATAACCATTCTGGATAGGGCTCCAGCAAACCTATCAGGAGTGCCTTCTCTGGGATCTCATGATCCATTGAAAACTGTCAGCAAGAGTCCTGTCACTCACATTCAGCACCACGCCCTCACCTTCTCCCCGTACCTCAGCCTGTTACAAGGCCTGGAAACAGACTGTTAGTGCAGGCTTGCCCTCAATGGGACTGTCAGCTGATGCTCATTCCTTTATTCTCCTGAAATAACTAATTTGAAAGCCCTGGCAGGTGGCTTTCCAACATCATTACTCTTTTAAATTCCCTCCTTACTTTCTACTGCCAAATTCTGGTTCCTTTTGTTATTTCGCCGCTTCTCAATTCTTGTAAGTGACGTCAGGACTACTAAGTGAGAAAACCGGCTAAGACCACTGTTAGCTAGTCAAACTACACGTTGAACCTACCTCAAGCCTTTCAGTAGCTTCCAGGCACACTTAAGAGTTCCACCTCAAAACCCTGCTTCTCTCTGCAAGTTCCCCAGCCCCTCAGGAGTTGGCCAGTCAGTCAGACAGAGGTAATTAGAAAACGCCACGCCCAGCCACACTTTGCGGCAGTCCTCTGCAGTCTCTGCAGTAGAAAGCCCTGGGCCTCACATCTTCTGGACCAGCATCCACACCCATGTTGTTACCACAAGTTCTGAGTTCAAGAAACACTGCAAAAGCCTCCAACATGGTGCTGACCTAGTCTGCACACACTATACCCACCTACTATGTGCAATCAGCTCAGGTTCATTTAGAGAAGACTGAGTTTAACCTGCAGCCACCCGAGTTAACCTTCCGAGGTGTCTGTGACTTCCCTAAGAACTCACTTTGTACGGGGTGGGGAGCAACATGGAATGTCTCCCTCGACTAAACTCCCAAAAAGCCTTTTCTAGTATTTATTTATTGTGAAGCAAGGCTGGAGAAAAGGTCGTAGTGCCCTTGAACTGGAGAGGGAGAGGCCAGCCGGTACAGCCTTCAACCTGGGAGCAGAGGCAGGAAGATCTCTCAATTCCAGGTCCACCTGGTCTACACAGTGAGGTTTTTTTTGTGGGCTTTTGCTTGTTTTTGTTTCTTGAGACAGAATTTTTCTGTGTAACAGCCCTGGCTGTCCTGAAACTCATGTAGACCAGGCTGGCCCTGAACTCCCAGAGTGCCTCTGCCTCCCACCTGCTGGGATGAAAGGCTTGCGCCACCACCACACAGTGAGTTGTAGGACATCCAGGGCTACACAGTGAGGCCCTGTGGAGGGGACTGGGGGTGTGTACACCCTAGGTGTAGGCTTCTCAAGTTCAAGGCTAGCATAGGCTACACAGCAAGTTTCTGCCTGGGCTACATTAGACTCCACACAAATGACCAAAAAGAACAGGAAAGCAGAAAAGTACAAAGTTCAAGGCTACAAAGTAAGTTCAAGGTCAGCGTAGGCACTTTACTGAGACGGTTTCAAAACAAGAAGCAAATGAGTGGCTGGGGGAATAAGGAAGTTTTCCCGGCTTGTGCAAGGCCCCAGGATAAATCCCCACAAAGACCACAGTCAGTAACTGAGTTTTCAGAACGCATGACGCGGTCTTCTCATTTCCTACCCATTGGTTCTGGGGAACAGAGAAAGTCCAGAGCCTTGTGCATCCTGATGAAGTGATCTCCCACTGAGCTATAGCCCCAACCCCACTCCTTTGACTTAGGGAGCCTCGCCCCCAGCTGACCCCAAGTATGAAGTAACCCAAGTGCAGTATTTGATACATGCACTGTGTCTTAAATATGAGTTCTCATTACATATACAGACACCATATTGCATATAACCCACGTGCCCTGTATGTATGATTTATTTTTATTATTTTACGCGATTGTGTGTTGGCTGGTATCCATGGAACCCAGAAGATGGTGCTCAGGCTACCTAGCTAGAAGTTTAACTCAGGACTCGGCAAGCACCCTTAACCACAGAGCCATCTATCTCTCCAGGCTCATGTACCCTCTTACAGGACTTTTCTGGAGCTTTCCACTATCAAATGCTCCTGAAATCCCACGGGGACTTTTAGCAGTTCTAAAACTGCACCAGGGGAAGACATCGCAGCTAGGTGCAGTCGTGCATGCCTCCAGTCCTAGCCACTGGGGAGTCTGGGACAGGAAAAAAAACTCAGCTTCCAGGCCAATCTGGGCATCAGAGTAAGACACATTAGTTATCTTATTTCCTTATTTAAAACAATCTGTGTTTCCTCTCTTAGAAATATCCCAGTATTTTACACCGTTTTCTTAAAGCAGGCAGTCTAACCCCAGCAGGGCAATCAGCACTGCGGTTCCAGCACTTAATGCAAGGGGGAGGGGTTCAAGGTCATCCTCAGCTTTATAGCGAGTTCAAGGCCCGCCTGCCTCAGTCTGTCTTATGTAGCAAGCCACATCTTCTCTTATTTGCCCATTTATTATCTATCTATCCATCCATCTATCCATCTATTTATTTATTCATTTCCGGGGCAGGGTTTCTCTGTATAACTCCCTCTGGACACCAGGCTGGCCTTCAACTCACAGAGATCCATCGGCCTCTGCCTCTGCCTCTGCCCCTGCCTCTGGAGCGTTGGGATTAGAGTGTGCCACCATGGCCGGCTCAGTCTTCTAATCTTAATCTATTCGAATTAAAATTTTTATCAGAGGCTGATTTGGCAATATTACACCAGAGGAAAATGCTGATCCTTACACAACCCTGAAAGTCTTTCTGACTAGGGGAAAGGCTACTAGGATTCTTCAGACAGCTAGGGTGACACCTAATGAGATTTTGTAAGTAAAAGGTTCCCGAAAATCAGCAAGTCACCTTCACTGCAACTATGTAAAAAAGATCTGCTTATTCACACGCTACGAGAACAGAAAAAGAAAGCAACTGAAAGTTGGTAATTAATTAGATCGAGAATAACCTGTAATCATAAGTACAAATATCCCTTGTGGGTAGGGTATAGCAGGACAGATGTATCATTGTAGGAATATTTCCGCATCTTGCCAAAGTAAATGAAACAGCAAAACTGTCAGTACAGTGAGAGTTGCTAAAAAGATGGTAACATTATCGATCAGTAGGAGTCTCATCCCCCCCCCAGTACATTAACGGTATGAATCTGCTACAGCCATTTAGAAGATCTTAAAATCAAACTGCCTGTTGCAATCCTCTGACCTGCTCTGACCTTTCCAAATGTATTAACTCTGCCCTCTCAACCGCAGAAGGGACTGGGGGAGGGAGGAGGGTTGGCTCGCTTTGAATCAGGGGCTACTTTATGTAGCCCAGGCTAGCCTTGGAGTCCTTTTCTTCCGTTCCTCCACCTCCCAAGGCTGGCATCTCCAGGCCTGAGCTATCTAGCCTGGCTCTCATTATCTCTGGTGACAGGTTTTTTGTTTGTTTTTTTTTCTTAAAGTAAAAGAAAAAAAAATGATCGAACCAAACGGAAAATAAAATATTTTACTGGACACGGTGGCAACACAGTTATAAAATCCCAGCAACCCGGGGAGGTTGGGAGGCCAGGTCTCGGAGAGGGAAGAAAAGCAGATACTTTAGCATCCCACACTCATCGCCAAAGTCTAGAGACCTTTCCTAAAAATGCATCCTCAGTGTAGAATCCGCTCCAGCCAGGACGTCAAGCCCCCACCCCACCCCACACCCCCCACCCCGTCTCCATTTTGCAGGCCCAGCAGTGATCTCCGGGAGAAACGCACACCCGCCACAAGCCTCAGGCTGGGGTGCAAAACCCCAGAGGCAGCCGGCCTCGCGGCCTAACGGGCGGACGGTCACGAATTCCCCGGCGAAGGGCGTTTGGCGTCCGAGGCATGCTCGGGGGAACAAAAGCTGCGGACCCGCAGACGCGAGGCCCGGACGCCACCCAAACGCCGCCGGGGCGATGACACCTCGGCCTCCCCGTCCGCGGCGATGAATGACGGCGCGGGCGCGCACGGGCCGCGGGCCCCGGACCCGGCTCGCCGCCCGAGGAGCCGCCCCGGGCCGCGCGCCGGAGCCAGAGCCACAGCCCGGCCGCGCCCGCCCGCCCGCCCGCCCGCCGGCTCGCTCACCTCCGCCGCCGCCCGGGCGCTCCTCCTCCTCCTTCCTCCTCCTCCTCGCAGCCCTGCGCGCTCGGCTCCGCGGGGGCCGCAACCCGGCTCCGCAGCGGCCCGCGGGGATCCCGGCCGCAGCCCGACGCTTCCCTGGGCGGCCGCCGCTCCTTCCGGCGTCTCCGCGGCCGCAGCGGGCGTCTCGGGGCGGGGCCTCGCGGATGGTACGCCCCCTCGGGGGCGGGGCCTCCAGTCGAGCCTGGGTCTCCCCCCGCGCCCGGGCTGCGCTGGCCCCGGGGGCCCTGAGAGCGAGCCGCGGCTGACGTGGACGCTGCGCGTCCGCCTTCTCCCACCCTCCGCAGTCACCCAGCGGCCTCCCAAGGTCCCGGCGCGGTGCCTGACAGGCAGACAGACAGACTGACAGACAGGCAGGCTCCGCAGCACGGAAAAATACTGGAAGGTCTCCGGTTTTGCAGCCCGAGAGGGCGAGCTCCAATGAATGCTGCGCCAACAATTATAAATTCTGGGGCAGGAGGATGGCCGGCAGTGATTTCAAGGCTACTAGCCTGGGCTACCGCATGAGACTTTGTCAGTAATGAAAAAAACAAAACAAAAAAAAACGTTAAAGAAAGGCTTGACCGACCGCAGTTCAACCCCAGCCCTGACTGTTTGTTTGTTTTTCTTGTCATTTCCTCAAGACCTGCATTCTCTGGAAGCGCAACTGCCTTTCTCTCTTCCATACATACGAAGGAGACATTAATCGCTACCGTTTTCCACTAGGTCAAAATCAAGATCAAGTGAAATATTTATTGCAACCTGGGGATCTTGTCGGTGCTGAGAGCCCTGGGGGGGGGCTTGCAATGGTGCGCGTGTCTGTGTGTGTGTGTGTGTGTCTGTGTTTGTGGGGGGGTGTCTGTGTGTCTGTGTGTCTATGTGTGTCTCTGTGTGTGTGTGTCTGTGTGTGTGTGTGTCTGCTGCGATTCACTGGGCTGATTCTGTGAGATGCGAAGAAAAACAGCTAAACTGAAGAAGGTGCACCCTTCAAGCCCAGCCCTTGGGGGGGGTGGGCTGTGGCTGGATCATTAGTTCCACACCAGCCCTTACAGAGACGCGTCTGTCTCATTACCTCCAACGATCTGGTCTCTAGGTGGGAGCATGTCTAAGTGTTGGGCAGGGTATCCAGTCTCCACCAGAAGCAGGTCACTAATATGGGGCTTCTACTTACTCTCCTGGTGGAGGTGGAGGACATTAGCCTCGATACCGCATTCAGGGTGGGGCCTCCGGCTCGGAAGGGTCCCTGTGGTTGCCACCATACTGTGTTTTCAGCCTGTTTCAAATATTGCCTATTCGTTTTCACTGATATCCAAACCAAGATTATTTTCAATTTTTATTGAATGACTTTTTCCAGGGAGTCCGTTTCTGGTTATCCAGGTAGAACGACAGACAGATCAAATAAATGTTTCCATCCACACACAACTTGGTGAACCAACCAGATTTAATTGGGGTTATCCAAGCATGGACCACTTAAGGGCAGCTACACCAACCATGAGTATCTCTTATGCCTCTGTGTGTGTGTGTGTGTGTGTGTATGTATGTATGTATGTATATACACACATACATATCCTCAGAGATGGGAGGGGCTACCTGAGCCTGGATGCCCTCCCCTCCTTCCGTGGGGAGATGCTAATGGTCCAGTCTGATGAAGGTTTCATGCTTCTCACCACAGACTCTCTGATGACCAGCCCAGAGGACAGAGTACCACACGGTGCATATTTACTATATTCAAGGTCTTTTCTTGTGGGGGGAAGGCAGGGGGAGGTTGCTTTTTTAATTTATTTACGTATATGGCATTTTGTCTACATGTGTGTCTGTGTATGACCTGTATATCTGGGTCCCCCTGGAGGCCAGAAGAAGGTGTCAGATTCCCAGGGACTGGAGTTACAGGCAGTTGTAAGTCACCTTGTGAGTGCTAGGAATTGAACCCAGCTCCTCTGGAAGAGCAGCCAGTATTTGCAATTGCTGAGCCATCTCCCCTGCCCTGGCGTTGTGTGTTTTAGACAGGTCCTTGTTATGTAGCCCAGGCTGGCCTTGAACTCTTGGCAATCCTGCCTCTGCATCCTGGTTTCTGAGAGTACAGGAGGAAGGGTTCATTTTGACTCGTGAAATTCAAGGGTACTTTAGTGGGGGATTAAAAAAAAAAGTAAAGAACTTTTGTTTATTTGTTTTGTTTTGTTACGACAAGGTTTCTCTGTGTTCCAGTCCTGGCTGTCCCGAAACTCGCTCTGTAGACCAGGCTGGCCTGGAACTCAGAGATCCGCCTGCCTCTGCCTCCGAGTGCTAGGATTAAAGGCTTGCGCCACCACCGCCCAGCAACTGTAGAGAATTTAAGTTAATAATAAACGCGCCGTTTATATAGGTGCGTTATTTGGCAAGCCTGTAATCTGGCTCACCTGAGGACTCAGGGTCTATGGACAGAAGGTGCTTGGTTGGGGTCAGGGTGGGGCGATATCCATTGCAGAGCCTCCTACGTGCTCAGCACAAACCCCTACATGCCCAGCCCAGGCATTCTTTTCTTTTCTTTTCTTTATCCTGTGCATTGTTTTTTTGCCTGCATGCGTGTCTCTATGAGGGTGTTGGATCCCCTGGAACTGGAGTTACAGACAGTTGTGAGCCGCCCTGTGGGTGCTGGGGATTGAACCTGAATCCTCTGGAGGGAGCAGCCGGTGCTCTTAACCGCTGAGCCATCTCCCCGGCGCCCCCAGCCCAGAAATCCTTAGTTTGGGATCCGTGATGGGTTTCCGGGGCTCAAAAGGGTGTGCGTGTGCGTTTCTTGCATTTTCTCTAATAGTGACCAGCCGTGGCCGTTTTTTACAGAGAAGAGCTCGTGTTTTAACCAGAGTGGTCCTACACTCCGGCGGGGTTCCCACCTCTCTCCCGCGCTACCCACTGACAGGTGCACGCAGGGCTGCCAATCTCGAGAGACCCCACTGCCCTCAACAAACATGGCGGGAGCGGCCTCGCACGCAGCCCCTCACGCAGTCCTCCCGCGGCCCTCCACTTTCCCTACCTTAGCGTCCTGACCCCGGAAGGACTCCGCCTCCCACAGCCCCGGGCTGCTCCGTGCCGGCTGCGGCGGGGACCCGGGCGGACGAGGCGCAGGTGCGGGCGAGCGCGGGGCTGGCGCCGGGGACCGGGGCGAGCGCGGGGCTGGCGCCGGGAGGAAGACACCACTCAGAGCGGGGCGGCCGCGCGGAAAGTGAAGCGGGGTGCGGGAAGAGCAGGGCAAGTGCGGGGCGGAGATCGGGGGTGCAGAGAGATCAGAGCAAGTGCAGGGCGGAGATCGGGTATGGAGAGGGCAGGTCAAGTCCGGGGTACAAAGATCCGGGTGTGGAGAGGGCAGGTCAAGCCCGGGGTGCAAAGATCCGGGTGTGGAGAGGGCAGGGCAAGTCTGGGGCGCAGAGATCCGGGATGCATAGAGAGCAGGGCAAGTCCGGGGTGCAGGGCAAGTCCGGGGTGCAGGGATCCGGGGTGCAGGGCAAGTCCGAGGTGCAGGGCAAGTCCGGGGTGCAGGGCAAGTCCGGGGTGCAGGGATCCGGGGTGCAGGGCAAGTCCGGGGTGCAGGGCAAGTCCGGGGTGCAGGGATCCGGGGTGCAGGGATCCAGGGTGCAGGGCAAGTCCGGGGTGCAGGGCAAGTCCGGGGTGCAGGGACCCGGCTGCGGGGACCTTGAGCCGCTGCCCGGGGCTGGATGACGCCTGTCGCGGGCGCTGGCCTCTGCTGGCCCAGATCTCTGAGCTCCTACCCGCTCAGGGAGACGCCCCAGACGTCTTGTGTCTCTCGTGATGGCTTTTATTCAGTCAGCGTCCCACCCTGGAACCCACCAGACTGGTCGTGCGAAAACGAAACCCGGCTCCAGCTGGTGGCAATCCTCCTGCCCCGGCCTCCCAAGTGAGGGGAGCTCAGGTGTGACCACTGGACGTCTTGTTGTGAGCAGACCTCACCCGCTGTTCTCGTTAGCTGTCATTGTCAACAACGGTTTCCACTGCCTTGAAGGCATCTCAGAAAACCAGGGGAGTTGGTGCACGCCTGGGGGCGGGAGATGAGAGAGAGAGAGAGGGAGGGAAGGAGGGAGGGAGGGAGAGACAGAGACACAGATGGAGAGACAGAAAGAGACAGGGGGAGAGAGAAATAGAGAGAGACAGACAGACAGAGAGACAGGGGGAGAGAGAGACAGAGACAGAGATGGAGAGACAGAGAGAGACAGACAGACAGCGGGAGAGAGAGACAGAGAGAGAGACAGAGACAGGGGAGAGAGAGACAAAGACAGAGACACACACAGAGAAAGACACAAAGAGAAATAGACAGACACACACAGAGAGAGACAGAGAGACAGAGAGAGAGACAGAGACAGAGATGGAGAGACAAACAGAGAGACAGGGGGAGAGAGAGACAGAGATGGAGAGACAGACACAGGGGAGAGACAGACAGAGACAGACAGACAGACACAGAGAGAGAAACACAGACAGAGACAGAGACACAGAAGAGGGAGTTGTGTATATTTCATGCATTATGTCAACGTGGCTCAGTAGTGTAGATTTACTTCTTGCCTCCAGGGTCAGAGTTGTAGAATCAGGGGTTTTAGGACGTTTGAAACGAAAACTCCAAGCCAGTGTTTGGAATGGAAAGAATGAAGTAAATTTTTAGCGGTGCTTTAAGATTTCTTTTACAAATTTGAATAGTCACGAAACTGCTTTCGTGTTTTTTTTAACTACACTCCCGTAAGCAACTGAAACGCCAACTTTTGAAGTTTTTCTGGTCAGAAATGATTGCGTTTGGATTCAGCCTTGGTGGTGCTTCACGTTTTCCTTGGTGAAATGAAATGAGATATCTAGAATTCAAAAATAAAGGTTTGTCAAGAGACACATTTTTGTCACCAGACAATGGTTTTGGGTTTTGTTTTCCAACCCCCTAAGTGATGGGCGTTTTGCTCGCCTGTGTATTTGTCTGTGCTCGAGATACATGCAATGCCTTTGGGGTCCAGAAGAGGGCGTGCGATCCCCTGGGAATGGAGTTAAAAATGATTTGGGGCTACCACGTCAGTACTGAGAATCAGCAGCCCCCGGAAGAATAGCGGGTGCTCTTAACTACTGAACATGTCTTTATCCCAGACAGAGCATTTCTTAATTACAGTCGTGAGCTGATCTGTACTCTGTGAATGTATCTACTGTGTGCGAGTAGGTACACCAATAACATCAGAGAGCTGGTAACTCTGTAGAACCCAAACTCTAGACCAGTGGTTCTTAGCATGTGGATGGTGGGGACCCCTTTGCGGGGTTGAACAGTTCAGTTCCTTCACAGGGGTGGCCTAAGGCAGTGGGGAAACACAGATGTTTACTTTATGACATGTAACAGTAGCAGAATTGCTGTTATGTAGTAGCAATGGTTGGGGCGACAGGGGAGGAGGCGGGAATTTGTGGGCATAGATGTGAGTGCTTGTGTCTGTGAGTGTGTGTGTCTGTGAGTGTGTGTCTGTGAGTATGTGTGTCTGAGTGCCTGTGCCTGTGAGTGCCTGTGCCTGTGAGTGCCTGTGAGTGTGTGTGTCTGTGAGTGTGTGTGTCTGTGAGTGTGTGTCTATGAGTGTGTGTGTCTGAGTGCCTGTGCCTGTGAGTGCCTGTGAGTGTGTGTGTCTGTGAGTGTGTGTCTGTGAGTGTGTGTGTCTGAGTGCCTGTGCCTGTGAGTGCCTGTGAGTGTGTGTGTCTGTGAGTGTGTGTGTCTGTGAGTGTGTGTGTCTGTGAGTGTGTGTCTGTGTGTGTCTGTGAGTGCGTGTGCCTGTGAGTGTGTGTGCCTGTGAGTCTGTGTGCCTGTGAGTGTGTGTGCCTGTGAGTCTGTGTGCCTGTGAGTGTGTGTGCCTGAGTGCCTGTGAGTGTGTGTGTCTGTGAGTGTATGTGAGTGTGAGTGCCTGTGAGTGTGTGTGTCTGTGTGTGTGTATATGTGAGTGCGTGTGTCTGTGTGAGTGTGTGTGTCTGTGAGTGTGTGTGTCTGTGGAGGCCAGAGCCCGATGCTGAGAGTCGCCGTCCTTGGTTGATTTTTTTTTCATGGTGTTTCTCTGAGCCGGACCCTCTGAGAGGTCAGACCTAGAACCACCCCTCAGCTAGTCTTGTCAGCCCGCTTGCTCTGGGGATCCCTGCTCTCTCTGAATCTGAGACTAGAACCGCAGGCAACCCTCTGAACCCACCGAAGTTTACGTGGGTTCCCTGTGGCAAGTAGAAAAATTACAGTTGTGAAGCAGCAACGAAGATAGTCTTATGGTTGGGGGGTCCCCGCAGTATGAGGAGCTGTATTTAAGGGGGGTCGAGATCCGCTGCTCTAGAACGTGCTGCTCTAGAACGTGCGTGTCTCCCTGTCCTCTCCACATAGCCTTTTTAGGTTACCATACGAAAGTAAAGGGTTTCACCCATGGGATCCTCGTGTGTGTGTGTGTGTGTGTGTGTGTGTGTGTGTGTGTGTGTGTGTACTCACAGTGGCTTTTCAATCATTCTCACTGGTAAAACCTGTTGTTTTCTAAGGAATTGGGGATTTAAGCTACCCCATTTCCTTCACTGTTAGCCTTTTGGTTAACACCATAAACACAGCTCGTGTCCTTTGCTGTTTTGGTGACTGATAAATGCAGTTTTAGCTCCATTGCAATATCATGCATGCACAGCTAACTACAAAACGGATGGAGTTTCAGTATTTTATTATGTTTATTTATTAAGTGCTCTTGTGGGCTGGTTCTCTGATTTTTAACCAGAGTTTAACTTCTTTTTTTCTTTTTCTTTTTGGGGACAGGGCCTCATTATGTATCTCTGCCTGACCTGGAATTCTCCGTGTAGACCACGCTAATTCACGGAGATTGCCTGCTCCTCCCTCCCGAGATCTGGGATCAAGGGCATGAGCCACCACACCTGGCGAGATTTTAACTTTGCGTCTTTCATGGATGAAGCAACCAGAAATCCCTGTGGCTGATTAACCTCTGCGTCACTGAATTAAGAGCTGACCGAGCAGTCATGTCAGGAGAGTCGGTCAAGGAGTCACAGTTCTCCCTGAAGACGGCCGCCCTGAGGGTGTTTGATCTCCCTGTGTCTTGGTACTGTTCTCTCTCCCAGGTAAACAAAGAGGTGAATGGAATTTGAGGAATAGTGCGTTAATGTTGTTCTGTGTAATTCGGTTGCGATGGCTGAGGCTGTTTTGTTTGTGGTACTGGGAATCTGAACCCAGAGTTTGCTAAGCAGACAGACGGCCACTGAGCCACACTCCCAGCAGCCCCTGAGGATTTCACACAGCAGAGTCAAAATGCTAACGTAGCTAATACCTTCTTTTAAAAAGTTACTTTATGGAACCAGGCGGTGGTGGCGCACGCCTTTAATCCCAGCACTCAGGAGGCAGAGGCAGGAGGATCTCTGTGAGTTTGAGGCCAGGCTGGTCTACAGAGCAAGTGCCAGGATAGGCTCCAAAGCTACACAGAGAAACCCTGTCTCAAAAAAAATTATTTTGTGTACATGTAAAAATGCATATACATGTTTCATCATATATTTACATATTTCACATATAAATATGTTTCATTAAAATATATGTATATGTACTGCATTACTTTAAAAAGTCTTCCTTTCTTATCCAGGTATGGTGACATAAGCCTTTTAATCCTGTTATTCATCTTTTTTCTTTTTTATGACTCATATATTTTATTGAGCATAACATCTTCAAGATTTATCCACATGGTAGCCCACACTGGAATTTCCTTTTAATATGGAATATTCCGTTGTACAGCTATACGAATTCTTGCTTTCGTTTCCATCTGTCTGTGATCCCTTGGGTTGTTTCCATGTTTTGGACATCTTGAATAATGCTTCTATGATCACGGATGTCCGGATAATTTTTTTCACCAGTCACGGTGCCGTACACCTGTGATCTCAGCGCTCCAGAGGCAAAGGCAGGAGGACCAGCCTGGCCTACGAAGGGACTCCTGATTAAAAATTAAAAGAACGGGCAAAAACAGTGGGGTTGGGGAGGTGTCTCAGTCCAAGTATGCAGACCCACACGTGATCCCCAGAATCTAACATCAAGCAAACGGAAAAGCCAGGCACAGTAGGGACACGTGCTGCTTTCCAGTCCTTGGGGAGGTCTTAGTTCTGTGAGCCAGTCCATCTGGCCAGATGAGCGAGCTCCGGGTTCAGATCTTTCCAGAGTTATTTTTCAGAAGCAGAGTGTCTGGATCACACGGTCATTGTTGTCATTTTGAGGGTGAGCTGCCGGGCTTCCACAGCAGGGACACTGTTTCACGTCCCAACAGCCTTGCTAACGCTTGTGGTCTGGTTCCTCTGTGGGGGCCGTCCTACAGGAGGAGTGTGGTTTCCAGATCTTTCCTCTCGTCCTGTGGGTGGTATTCCGTGGTTAGTGTCTTTCACTCTAATTTGAAAATGCTTTTATGTGTGCGGGTGTTTTGCCTGTGTGTGTATGTATGTCTGGGCATTCTGTCTCCTTGGTCCATGGAGACCAGGAGAGGGCATTGGCAAAAAGTTGTGTGATTGTCCAGGTAGCAGTGTTCCAAAAATATTTTTAGCTACCTTTTTGCTTATTTATTTTTATCTTTTTTTGTTATTTTGTCTTTTTTTTTTTCTGAGCTGAGGACCTAACCCTGGGCCTTGCGCTTTCTAGACAAGCATGCTACCACTGAGCTAAATCCCCAGCCCCGTAAAAATATTTTTTAATTAGCTTATGAGTAAAATCACTTATTCTTGTAGTATTTAAAAACAAGTTAACTTCTGCTTGCTTAAAACTCCAGACATGTTTATAAAAACACGAGCTCAGTTTTAAAGTCTGATTTCATTGTTTCTGTAGTTAAAATCTTTATGATTCTTCACATAGAAGATTCAGGCTGTCAGAGATCCACCTGCCTCTGCCTCCCGAGTGCTGGGATCAAAGGCTAATAGTTGTTTGTAAAATATCAGTCGTTCGATTTTACCAATAAAGACTCGGGAGCCAGATGCTGGGGTGAAAGCGTGCCCGGTAGCTCAGAGAGGCAGAGAAAGCACCCAGCCCACCTTCCTCCTCAGGCGGGGTCCCGGATGTATGCAGTCTCAAAAAAGCCGCCTCAGACTGTATGTCCCATCCCTCCCTTCTATTTCCTGCCTGTCTCTCTATCCGTCCTCCCGACTCCTCTGACTATGGTTTTCTAATAATCCAGTGTTCACTTCCTACCAACCGGTTGCTTGTTCTTGACCTATGATGCACTTTGTTTAATCCTGCTTACAATAGTCAAACAGAAAGCTCTTGGATCAAAGGTGTGTCCTAAGGCTGAACCACACCACAACTAGAAGCAGGTCTTAATGCATTTTTGGGGCTCATAGTGTGACAAAATATCCTGCAACAACTATTTTTCGTTCTTATGCTTTCAGTGAAAAAAAATATGAGTTTTTTTTCAATCTTTTCCAGATCAAACTTTCACCGGTAGCTAAAAAGTTGTTTGTGGTAACGGCTGTGAGCGCTATCTCTGTAATTTTTTTTGCCCATCACTTTAAAAGAAGACGTGGGAAAAAGAAAGGAAAAATCCTTCCATGGGAACCAGAGCATCTCATACTTGAGCACGCTAAGAGAGCAGCATCGGACAAAGGTTTGTGGAGATTTCCAGATTAGGTCTATTGATCATGAGACACTGTGTATCACAGCCGGGGCGCCAGTCTGTAGGGTTAGCAAGGGCGGAGGAGAAAAGACAGGCATATTAAAGCCACTTAGGGCCCTGCTGCCCAGAAGTCATGACTGACTGTTATACATCTGTACAAGTACATCGGCGTACAAGTATATTCACTGAAAATTTGATGAGTATTGCAGTGGTGGCGCATGCCGTTAATCCAAGCACTGGGGTGGCAGAGGCAGGTGGATGTCTGTGAGTTCAAGGTCAGCCTGGTCTACAGAGCGAGTTCTAGGACAGCCAGAGCTGTTGTTACACAGAGAAGCCCTGCCTCGAAAAAGGAAGCAAATAAGTGTCAATAGTTTCTATGGTGAAATAAAGTTTCGGAGGCTGGAGAGACGGCGGCGCAGCGTTGAGCCTGAGAGCCATCTCCGCGCGCACATCTGCAGCTCCAAGGGTTTGCCAAGCACACCTCACTCACGTGCACACGCCCACACACAGATGCTTATACACATAATTTTAAAGCAATGTAAAGTTGTGTTCTAATGAACTGTGAAACCATGCTACATTCATAACCTGCTTTCCAAGGTTTTGATAACGTATGAGTATCATTCCAAGATTCTGAGTCAATAATGTGTGCTGTCATTTGTAAGACATAGTAATCAATTACATTTGTGCAAATACACTATAGCTGACTGAATTCTATCTCTGTTACCTTTATGATGTTCGTGATTTTTTTTTATTTATGAGGTTGGTTTTTTTTTTAACAGAGTCTTATGTAGCCCCAACTGGCCTTGACTTCATTATATTGTAGTCAGACTTTTCTGTCCCACCAGTTGCTCCCCAAATAGCCACACAGACACTTAATATTAACTGTAAATGCTCACCCAATAGCTCAGGCTCATTGCTAACTAGCTCTTACAACTTAAATGAACCCATTCTGTTAATCTGTGTGCTGCCCGGAGGCTCCTTTAACTCATCTATGAACTTTCCATCCTGCCTGCTCTGAGTCTCGTGGCCTCTCCCCTTGACTCCTCAGACTCCACCCTTCCTCCCAGCACTCTCTCTGCCCTGAAAATCCTGCCTAGCAATCAGCCAGTCAGCTCTTTATTAGCCAATTAGAGTAACAGTTATTCACAGTGAACAAAAGGGTTTATTCCACAGCACTGTATACTGAGGCTGGCTTTGAACTTTTGATCTTCTGGGCTGCAACCACCTAAGTGCTGGAATTATATAGGAGTACAACACCACGCCCAGCTTGTCCTGCATACATTCATGTATTTCCTAGGAATTATATAGGAGTGCAATACCACGCCCAGCTTGTCCTGCATCCGTTCGTCTGTTTCCTTATTATCAAAAGTTCTAGAATTGCTTCTTTAAAGGAAATGCGTCTTTTTAGTAAGAGATACGGTGCAAACCGCCGAGCTGTAGCAATAAAAATGATTCCCTGAGATGTCTCAGCAGGTAAAGGTGTCACTGCAAGCCTGACAGCCTGGGTTCCAAACCCCAGGACTCACGTGATAGAAAGAAAACGACCCTGGAAAGCTGTCCTCTGACCTCCTCATGATCAGTGTCGCACACGGGCCCATACACACACAACATTGATAGGAATGTAGTAATAATAATAATAATTCCTTGGGGTGGAGGGATGGCTCAGAGGTTAAGAGCACTGGCTGCTCTTCCAGGGGTCCTGAGTTCAATTCCCAGTAACCACATGGTGGCTCACAACCATATGATGAGATCTGGTGCCCTCTTCTGGCCTGCAGGGTTACATGCAGACAGAACACTGTATACATAAATAAATCTTTAAAAAAACAAAAACAGTAATTCCTTGATCAGACTAGATTTCTTAGTGTTTTACTGTTTCATGTATTTTATGGTTTTGTGATTTATTCATCGATGCACATAGGGAGTCACTGTTTGTTATTTACTGAGATTTTATTAGGTCTCAGACAAGCACTATATCCAGCATTTTATTTAATTTTTATAGCAGTCCTGTGAATGGCAGCTACAGTTCCATGTTCTCCTCATTTACGTATCTGAAACCCTAACAGATGAAGAAGTTACCGAGGTCGCATAGCATATGTGTACTGGGATTTAAAACCAGAAGGTCTAGCCTGTCACGCTGTGAGAAGCTGGACCAGTGTGTACTCTGCAGATAAGTGTGCAGGCAGGTGAAGGGATCAGCAGTGCACAGAGCCAAACACGCTTGTGGGGAAGCTGGACTTCAGGGGACACTGCTTACATGTTAAGCTGACAGCTCGTGAGGCAGTTACCAGTATTCTTACACTGACTGCCGCAAGCCGTTCAAAACCGTCCTGATCAGTCAGCTGGATGTTTTACTGTTATACATCTGGCGTTTTTATGTATAATGTACAAACATTAGAAATGTGTATTTTAATAACGTTGCACATTTCATAACTTTTTTTTAAAGATTTATTACATATACAGTGTTCTGCCTATATGCCAGAAGAGGGCACCAGATTGAATTGTAGATGGTTGTGAGCCACCATGTGGTTGCTGGGAATTGAACTCAGGACTCCTGGAAGTGCAGTCAGGTGCTCTTAACCTCTGAGCCATCTGTCCAGCCCCACATTTCATAACTTATGTGCTTGAATAAAATGTGTTTTAAAAAAATCAAGTGCTTTCTGAACGGATATAACTTGAATTTTTTTCCTGAAAGTTATTGCTGGAGTTGCTGACACTTTTGGTTTGGGTGTGTTTGTTTACCAGGTTCAAGTTGTTCCAGTAGTAGACAGAATTTGACCTTGTCCCTAAGTTCCACCAAGGACAAAGCATCGCAGTCTTACAACTACACCAATGGAGGACTTCTCAGCAAATACTCGGGTTCTGCCCAGAGCTTGGCCTCTGTAAGAAAAACATCCTTTATTATTCCTCTTTTTACGTTTGCTTGCATACCGTACTGCTTAAGTGTCGCATATCTGCTGCTCTTAGGAGGCAGTCTGCTTGCATCTGTTTCCTTTGCTGTCGGCCTCCAGTTTCACGGAGCAAGCGATACGGTCCGTTTGGTCCTTTAAGAATAGCTCTGATGGGGTAGTGCCGATTCAGAAGTAGGTGCCGGCATGCTTCTTCCTGGGCTGGATGTGATGACCACGCCTGTAATTCCAGCACTTGGATAAAGTGGGTCTCCCTGTGCTTCTGGGCTCAAGTCATCCTGTTGCCTCCTGCGTAGCTAGACTGCAGAGTCAGGGAGCGCCACTAAGCCCATTGCAAAGACGCTAAGATTTAAAGACTTGTGGCCCAGAAGGAACGCCTAGATTGGAGACTACACACTTGCAGTTGTGTGAGCCGAACAGCAGGGCACATGTGGCGCTCCTGTAGCCGTGGCTTCCTCCGCCTTGGGCATTTCTCTAATGAGTGCTGAAGCTGCTTTTCTTAACAGAGGCAGCTGCAGGGGTGAGCATTCAGCCAGTCACCTCTTGGCTCCTGCCCGGCCAGCCTGCCATTCCTCCACCAAGGCTGTTTGGCAGGGGTCTGCCTTTTAGACAGCAGGTTATGAATAACTCAGTCAGGGTCACAACACAGAAGACAGGAGGGATCTAGGTCCACAAAACTTCCAGACGGAGTCAAGGGAGCTGGAGAGATGGCTCAGTAGTGGAGAGTGTGTCCTGCTCTCCCAGAGGACCTGAGTTTGGGTCTCAGCACCTATGTTAAGTAACTCATAACCATTTGTAACTCCAGCTCTAGAGGATCCAACACACTCTCCTGACTTTCCTGGACAACTGGACTTAACTGCAAATAGTTCCATACAGGCACACATGTATATACATAATTACAAACAAAAATAAATCTTTTTTTTTCTTTGAGACAGGTTTCTCTGTGGCTTTGGAGCCTGCCCTGGAACTAGCTCTTGTAGACCAGGCTGGTCTCAAACTCACAGATATCCTCCTGCCTCTGCCTCCCAAGTGCTGGGATTAAAGGCGTCCTCTACCAACGCCCAGCCTACAAATAAAAATAAATCTTAAAAAATGAAATCTAAGCCAAGTGGTAGTGGTGGTCCACACCTTTAATTCCAGCACTCAGGGAACTCTGTGAGTTCGAGGTCAACCTGGTCTATAAAATGAGTTCCAGGACAGCCAGGACTACACAGAGACACCCTGTCTTTTCTTTTCTTTCTTTCTTTCTTTTTTTTTTTGTAAAGATTTATTTATTATGTACCCACTTCTCTGCCTGCATGTCAGAAGAGGGCACCAGATCTCATTACAGGCGGTTGTGAGCTACCATGTGGTTGCTGGGAATTGAACTCAGGACCTCTGGAAGAGCAGCCAGTCCATCTGAGCAATCTCTCCAGCCCCAAGACCCCCTGTCTTGAAAAAAACAGAAAAGAAAAAAATGAAATTTAAAGTTGTGACAAGAGATGTTTTAAAAATGACTTCCTTTTCTTAAAATTTGAGAAATTATGGGAATGGAAGTTCTGTTGAACTTGTAGGAGGAGTTTTTACTATGGGAAGGATGCTGAACTCATCATAAATTAGTTTATGATGTCACCAGAAAAGCCAAATTAGAATAGAGTCAGAATTCTCTCTTCAGGTGGAACCTACCTGGACTATAATTACAGAGCATATGTAAATAGTCGGTAAATACCACAGCGGGTTTGGTATGTATCTCAGGAGAGTGCTGACCCAGCATGCCAGAAGCCCTGGGTTCCATCCCTGACCCTGCATAAAAACCAGGTACAGGGGCATGTACCGGTAATCCCAGCACTCGGGAATAGAGGCCGAAGGATGAAACATTCAGGGTCCTCGTTGGCTATATAGGAGACCGTGTGTGTGTGTGTGTGTGTGTGTGTGTGTGTGTGTGTGTGTGAGTGTGTGTGTGAGTGTGTGTGTAAGCACACCTGGGAGTGTTTGAGCACTTGTGTGAGCGTGCACACGCTTGTGCGAGCATGCGCGTGTGAGACAGTGATCCGCTGTGCTTGGTCTTCATTTCAGGTCCAGAGTGTCAACTCCTGTCATAGCTGTGCCTGTGGAAATTCTAACTCCTGGGACAAAGCAGATGAGGATGACATCAAACTCGTCAACATTCCTGTGACCACGCCTGAGAACTTGTACTTGATGGGTGGGTATAGTATTTCAGAGTTCTAAGATACTGTGCTCAGGTTTAATTTGAAGATAGAAGGGAAGTAAGTTGGGTCTGGGGAGGTTCCCAGTGGCAAAGAGCTAGGCTGGCATGTGAGTGTCCTGGGTTTGATCCTCAGCACTGTGGGGAAAATAAAAACAAAAACAGTGATTTCTTCTACAAGAATCGACTGTAATTTTAAAATGACCCGTGTCAGCTGAATCTGTGTTATATAACGTAGTCAACTGCACTAGGTTCTTGAGAGTGATATAATAAATTGCCATAAACCCAGAGACTTAAAAAAAACAAACAAACAGCAATCAGGTGGTTGGAGAGACGGCTCAGCTGTTACGAGCGCTGACTGTTCTTCCAGAGGACCCGGGTTCAATTCCCAGCACCCACATGGCAGCTCACTGTCTGTAACTCCTGTTCCAGGGTGTCTGACACCCTCACACAGACATACATTCAGGCAAAACAGCAGCGTACATAAAAATAAATCTAAAAAAAATTAAAAAACAAAGAACAGACAGCGGTTAGTGCACTCAGAGTTCTGGAGCCAGAGGTCCAAAATCTTAGACCTTTGGGAGAATGTAGTTCTTCTCTCGCCCGGTGTTCGTGGCTCCCAGCATTCCTCGGGCCTGTGGCAACATCCCTCTTCCTCTACACTGCTCTTCATGTTACACTCCCGTCCGTGTGTCCATCTGCCCAAACCTCTCCATTATGCTTGTAATTTGACTTACAAGCCTCTTGGGGGCGCCCTGATCCTAACCACATCTCCAAAGACCCTTGCTCATGAGAGAACCCGGGTTCCAGACACAAAGACCTGATGTTTTGGGATGCCAACCCGCTCTACTCTGTTGACCTTGGCTGCTGAGGTTATCAGAATCTGATTTACTCGGTCTCTTCTGTCTGGATACCGCTTGTGTTCTATACCCAGAAAAACCATTAAGTCAGAAGAAAACCGGTATCTAAGACCTGGGTACCCCTCTTGACTTCATAAGCATGACTGGCTTGGGAGCTGGCTGTCGGGTGGGGGCCAGCGGCACCCGATGGGAATCGGTCATGCTCCTCTCCTTATGTCAGGATGCATTCCCCTCAGTAGACGTTCATGCTGGATAGAAAATGCTGTCTGCTTCCAAGTGTTTTCCCACTCATCTTCCCTGTCCCTGTCATAGCTACTTCTGGAGAGAGGAATTGAACCCAGGTCGTGGAGTCACTGCTCCAATCGCCAGTTTCTCGATATATACCTGTGGCTGTCCTGGAACTCACTCGGTAGTGAGATCAGGCTGGCCTCGAACTCAGATCCCAAGTGCTGGGCTTGAAGGCGTGCCCCGCTACAGCACACTGGTTCATGACACATTAATTCAGCCTCAGAAAAGTTCTCATGACATGGCCAAAGAGTGACTGGATTCTATTGTCCGGATATAAACTCAACAGCCCCTTGCGCAGTTCCCAACAGAGTCCTGGTTCCTTTCTGAAACCGCATGAGCCTGCTTCCATTGGCCACATTTTTCTGCATCCTGGTCTCCCACACTTCCTCCACAATGGCCCACTAAGCTCTGCTTAGAGCAGGGCATCTCAGCCTGTAGCCATAAACACATTCCCCTGCAAGCCTAACCGTATTTGTCACAGCAACAATGACTCCCTGCGTGTGGTTTTCCTTTCGCTGTCTGTTTTCCTTATTTTACACGTTGAGGAAACATGGTTTTTGCTCACCTACAGTCACTCCGCTCTTAATTTTTAGGGATGGAATTGTTTGAAGAGGCGCTGCGTCGATGGGAGCAGGCCCTGACCTTTCGCAGTAGACAGGCTGAAGAGGAAGCCTGCAGCTCCGTTAAGCTGGGAGCCGGAGACGCCATTGCTGAAGAAAGTGTGGACGTAAGGATGGTTTGTTTCCAATTATGGGGAGAGCCTCTTTCTGGGCAGTTAATACAGGCTTGCTTTCGCAGCTTGGGTCTCCATGAGAGACTTGTGGGGTTGGGTTTGGTTTGGTTTTGATTTGAGAGAGGATCTCACCGTAGAGCCCCTGCTGGCTTAGGACTCTTAGTAGACCAGGCTGGTCTGAAACACTGAGCTTGTCATCCTCTGCTTCCCCAGTGCTGGGATGGTGTCCAGCATGAGTGACTTCTTGCTGGGCATTTTCTATCCAAGCTTTTAAGCACTTTCGGTTTTTTAAAAATGTTTTAAATACAGTTAGTGTTTTCTCTGCTACGTGTGTGCCAACTGCCTGCAGAGGTCAGGCTTGGGTGTTGGGTCTCAGGGACTAGAGTTGCAGACAGCTGTGAACCTGCCAGGCAGGTGCTGGGACTCAAACCCAGGTCCTCTGCAAAAGCACTAAGCGCTCTCAACTGCTGAGCCAGCTCTCCAGCTCCAAACCTCCAAACCTCCTTCTGTAGAAGCAGAAGATGCAATTAATTTCTATTTGTGTGATACAGAGGTAAACCGGGGTCTTTTGGAGCAGATTGCAGAATGAGACGCCCAGGATAAATCTAACTTAGCAAACCCTCATGTATGCTTGTCTAAAAAGTCCTAGTCTACGTCAATGGTCAGACAGGACCCAGGTCTTCCTTTCTGTTACAAAAACAATAGGGCTGGCTGAAATGTTATGATTAGGTACGGCTGCCCGTACCCGTGATACCAGCACCCGCTCTGTCTACACACCAAGTTTCTCTTGAGAAGTCACGTTTCTGTGTTTAGAGTGTTAACATTGAATGTAATAGCTGCTGCGTGTTACCGTTATTCTTCTGTCTTTGTAGGACATAATTAGCACGGAATTCATCCACAAACTGGAGGCTCTGCTACAAAGGGCCTATCGTCTCCAGGAGGAGTTTGAAGCTACCCTTGGGGGATCTGACCCTAACTCCCTTGCAAACGATACAGGTAAGGTTGGTGTTTCTGTGGTTTTCTGAAACCTGTGGGATTTTTCTTTCATGTGTTGGAGTCATATTATTCAGTTAGAAATGCTTTATGAAATGCCCAAGGAGAAAAAGAAGTGTCTGCTGTCACCCTAGCTGACCAGAGTTCATAAACCAGGCTGGTCTTGGAGCTGGGAGGAGCCTACTTCAGCCTCCCAGGCACCGAGGGGCAGGGCCAGGGTAAAGGCTTGAGAAGGTTGCATGAATGAGGTTTGGAAGAAAGGACTGATTTAACATTGTTCCTTTCCGTAAATTCCTCTTAAGACGGAAATAAGCGAACGAGGGCTGGGGCTGCAGAGACGGTCTAGCGGTAGAGAGCACTTGCTGCTCTTGTAGAGAACTCAGTGTTCATCCCTAGCACCCACACGGCAGCTCACGGCCTCCGTCATGGGGCCCCAACACCATGCTCTGACCTTTTTAAGTGCCAGTCATGTACGGGTGCCCAGACACACATTTAGGCAATCCACTCATACACATGAAGGAAAAATAAAATGTTTTCCAAAAGACTGAAATGAGACAAAATTATGTTATGTGTTTCACTTGGTTTGGTTTTGTTGTTCTTGTTATTCCTTGTTTGGTTTTTTTGGGGGGGGAGGGGCAGGGTCTCTACATAGCCCTGGCTCTCCTGGAACTCACTATGTAGACCAGTCTGGCTTGAAATTCACAGAGATCAGCCTGCCTCTGTTCTCAAGTCCTGGGGGGGGAAAATATTTTTAAGTAGTTTAGGTCATGATCTGCTTGTATCTTCTCTATGGTCCTAACTACTTTGGTACACTGAGGCAGGAGGGTTGCTTGAGCCTATGATAACCACCTAGCGTGCTAGCTTCCGGGTGCCCGGATCGTTCCTGGACACTCTGTGGGGCGCGCTTTCTTCTCCGAGGCAAGCTCCGCTGTCCGTGAAAACTGTGATGTCATTCAGAACAAGTACCCCAGCACCCAGGAAGCTAAGGCAGGAGAGTGACATCGAGGCCAGCTGACCAGTGCCAGTCTCCAGCAAGGCACCTGGGGCGCACAGCAGTGTAAGGACCCAGTCTGATAGAGACCTGAACCAGAAGGGTCCTAAGGAAGCCCCGTGTGGAATCACCCTTATTCCCGGTGAGAAAAGGAGGGGCCAAGCGCAACAGTTCATGTTCTTTTTGTTTTGTTTTTTGTTTTTTCGAGTGTCCTCCCCTGTCAGGTTCTCAAGGCTGCAGGGCACAGTTCACATGTTTTGTGGAAATAATTCTTTTATCTGTCCTCCTGTCTTACGTTTCTCTTTTATGTGTACGTGGGGAATTTTGCCCACACGTATGTCTGTGCACCATATGTGTATGCCTGGTGCCCCAGGAGACCAGGAGAGGGTGTTGGGTCCCCTGGATGGAGACACGGGAAGTTGTGGGCCACCACGTGGGTGCTGGGAATGGATCCTGAGCTCCCAGCCTCTGAACCATCTCCCCAGCCCCCCACTTTGTCTTTTGAGGCAGGGTTTCCCCATATAACCCCTTGGTGTTCTGACTCTCACTACGTAGACCCCAAACAGCCAGGGGTTCCTTGTCTCTCCTGAGTGCTTAGACAATGGGTATCGGTGGCGCGAGGCTTGTGGAAAGAAAACCTGTCCGGATTTAACCCTGGCACAAAAGAGAAAAGCTGATCTGCCTACCCCAGGTAGACTGTGTTGGAAGCGTGGGCTTTCAGACCTGCTCCAACGCGTTGCCCTTGGTCTCTGTCTGTGTAATAGCCGAAAGCCCACAGGATTTCACTCGCGGATCCATATCCCACCACCATCATCAATTAGCACTTGCCCAAGACTCAGGAGCCGCATCTGCCAAAGGGACACGCAACGTCTGTGTTTTATGTGAACTCCAAGGCTAGCCATGGCGTTCTAGGACAGGGTGACGGTGACTGCGAGGTGCTTTGGAACTTAGGGGCTCTCAGAACGATAACCATTTTGCCTTTAGAGTCTTAGCCTCGCGTTCTGGGGGAGGAAGTGGAAGGGTTGGGTGTGTCCCGGGCTACTTAGCTGAGGACAGCCTTGACCGGCCTTGACAGGAGGCTGCCTCTGTCTCCTACGTGGTTTGCACTACTGTGCCTGGCCTCTGCGGGGCTGGAGATTGCACGAGGGGCATTGTGCATGTGAGGACATCGCCTTCCACTGACCTACACCCCTTGTAGATTTTGTTTGGCTTACCTTTTGTTTACTTATTTATTTGTTCTGAGGTAGGGTTTCACATAGGCCAGGAGTTACCATGTTTTGGTCCACTTGCCTGATCCTAAATGTGACAGCTCTAAGTTAATCTTTAAAATTTCTGGCACTTGCTTTTATGGGGACCAAGACCTCACTGCGTCACCCAGGATAGTCTTAAATTCTTGGCCTAAGCCTTTTGAATAGCCGAGACCCACACCAGCGTTGGAAGGAGAAGGCACTCCATGCATCAGCTTGAGCTAGAAGTTCTGACTATTCTGGTGATAGACACTGGAGGTTATTTTATTTCATCAACTCCCGAAACGTTGCTAGTGCTGAGCTAGGGTTAGCTAAATTTCCACACCCTGGATTTGCTCCCCGTGAGCCTGCATTTGTTTCTAGAGTTTAGATGTGGCATTTGTTTTTCTCACTAAACTGTCAGCTCTGGATTCTTCTGAACTGCCGAAGGGATTACAGACCTAGACTTGTTATCTATGGTCATATTACTCACCCCACATCACTCTGCACGTTGGTAAGCTCCGGATAGTCGTCAGCTCTGCCCTGAAACCTTTGTGGACGGTCTAAAATGGACAGAGAGAGTGGAGGCGCAAAGCTTTCAGCTTTCTTTGGGTCACCGAGAAGCCTTGTTTTGTTTAGCTGTCTGAGACACAGCCTCACTGTGTAGCCCTGGCTGGCCTGAAGCTTGCCATTTAGACCGGGGCAGACATGAACCCGCAGAGCTCCAGGTGCTGTGCTTCTAGAGTGCTGGATTTAGTGAACGAACCACACAGCAGCAGGTCACAGAGAACCCCAAAGGTCAGCCAGCCACATGACTCCCTGCTGCCACACCTGACACCCCAAATTCAGCCCCCAGGATCCACACCTACAAGTTTCCCATGACCCCCACACCAACCCGGTCAGTCCAGAAAACTACCGTAATTAAATTACTGTTTTCCTTCCCCACTTTCCCTTCACTTCCAGCTTTCTTGCAATTTGAGGCTTTTAAAAACCATAAGATTGTTAGATGAAGATTTTAACCTTTGCCAAACAGTGTTTGCAAATTAAAAAAAAAGAGCCTTGGAAGCCAAATTTCAGCTTCAGGTGACGTCTACCTTTCCTAACGGCAGTCTCTGTTGTCTCCCGTGCTGCCTAGTTCTGAATCACCCTGGAAGTCTGAGACAGACACACTAAGCCAGTCAATCGATCAATCGATCGATCGGTGCAATTCTTTAAAAGGTGGAGTTTAGAACAAACCTTCAGACTTCTTGAGACATTTTGTCCTTAATGCCTGTGTTTGCTTGCATGCATGTCTCTTTGCGTGCCATGAGTGTGCCTGGCTCCCGCAGAGGGCAGAGGAGGATGTCAGATACCCCGGAACTGGGGTCGTGAGCCCCGGACCCTCGGGAGGAGCTGCAGGCGCTCTCGGCTGCTGAGCCATCTTTCTCGCCCCCCTTCCCCCGTATTTCTAGACTCTTGTGTGCTAACCTCTTACTCCTCAAGTAGACAGTGTCTGTTACAAACAGATGAAATGGAGGTTCGAGTTAGTTTGAGTTAGTGCCCCACTCCCAGGAGGCTTATGGTCCATGTGCTGTTGAAGTCGCTAGGGGGCAGCACATCTCGTCTCCCGTTGAGAGACCAATGACTCAGATGCTGTTCTGTGCTGCTGCCTGAACTGAGCTAATTTTAAAGCCAACACTTGTGGCACATTTTGCACGCACCTGCCACTGTAACTCAGAGGGGGGGGGGTATAAAAAACCCTTGACATTCACAAAACACTGGAAATAATAGTGGAAATTTACACGGCTGTGTAAGCGCTGCTACCAATAGTGTCTAGATGTTTCGGACTGTGTTTATTCACAGTTTCCGTTTTTTTCAGATTACTAGCAATGGTGACTTTGTAATCTAAGGTCTCCCTGTATATCCAGTGCTGGCTTTTAATTCATTGTTTTGTTTTGTTTCTCAAGCTGGCTTCTAGGTCACAATCCTCCTGCCTCCGTCTCCCAAACGCTTCAGTTACAAGTGTGCGCGCCACAATGTCTGGCTAGCTATTACAATTTTTCATTTGTTTGATTTTTCAAAGTGAGGTTTCTCTGTCCTGGAGCTCGCTCTTGTGGACCAGGCTGGTCTCGAACTCACAGAGATCCGCCTGCCTCTGCCTCCCGAGTGCTGGGATTAAGGATGTGCGCCACCACCAGCAACTCTCTCTCTTGTTTCATACGTGGACACCCAGGATCCAGAGGAAGGTCCCATGCTTGTGTGGCAAGCGCTTCATTCACTCACGCTTTCTTTCCTGATCTTGGGGTTTGGGAGGGCCTCCAGAGGGGCTTGTCTCCCGTGTACCACACGTCTTGTTAGCAGTTTTAGATCTACCTAGAGGTGGTGGAAGGAGCTCTGTGCTTCATAACCAGCCTTGGACCCCACCTCCTGTTTCCTACACTAATTTTAAGAAATGGAAAGCACTGCCGGGCGGTGGTGGCGCACGCCTTTAATCCCAGCACTCGGGGCCCAGAGGCAGGCGGATCTCTGTGAGTTCGAGGCCAGGCTGGTCTACAGAGTGAGTTCCAGGACAGCTTCCAAAACAATACAGAGAACCCTGTCTGGAAAACCCAGGAAAGAAAGTAAGGCAGGGAGGCAGGGAGGGAAGTCCCCCAGCTGTCCCTCTTTAGAGTCTGCAGCACCACGTGCATGAGGGAGGAATGACTGAGCTTTGCCCCTCCTCCACAGGTCATATGAGATGGAAGAGGTTGGACATAGCCGATACACATGAAGACAAGTTAAGCACATGAGAGGAACAAACACCCTAA